TGATCTTCCCGGGGTTGACCCACGGCCGAGGCTCCCGGCGCTTGGGGAAACTTTGGGCAGCGAGCGGCTGCGGAAGCAAGTGGCTGATGAAGCGAGCGGGGTCGGCGGAGTGTGGACGCGTCTTTCTGGGATAGAGATTTGGGCGCTCCTGCTGTCGCGCTGCAGAGGGAGTTGAGCAGCAGGAATTTTGAGTTGTGGCCCCTCGGGGACAGACTGGGGAGCGGGTGGCCTTTGTTCCGGCGACCTTAACAGCTGAGAGGAAGAGCTGGTAGGACCCAGGGATCCTCTCTTGCAGTCCTCTCATTTTGTGACCACGGAACCCAAAGTTTGGAGAGTGTCAGCGACTTGCCCAGGGTCACCCAGCTGGTTACGGAGCATGGTTCCTGGGTCAGTGTTGGTGTCGCTACATCAAGCTTTTACCTGATGCTTGGGGGTGAGGATTCCAATAAATAGGTCAGTTGTCATAATAACAGCTCTGAATAATAGTTGGGCTCTTCTGGTATTCCAGGCCCCAGACACTTTTATATTGTTTCACTTATTTCTCACTACAATCTCTTGAAGATAGATATTCTCATTGCTCCCATTTTAGAGGTGACTGAGGCCAGGAGATGTTAATTTGTCTAAGGTCACTCACTTTAGATTGTCCAGAACCCATACTCTTAATCAGTAACTCAGGTGCATTGTGCTCTTGAGTTTACAAAGTACTTTCATATCCAAGGTCTTAACTACAGGCTTACAGGCAGGTAGGATAGTTACAATCTATACAGGTAAAGAAACCAAAACAGCAGAAGATTCTTTTCTAGGTGAAGAGAGAAATGGCAGCAGCTAATTGAAAGGGATCTGTTTCCCATTTTGCTTCTGTAACATTTCACCCCTTGGCCTGACCTTGTTTTCTGATTTTGGTCATCCGGGCAGTGTGGTAAGACCCTTAAATGAAGCCCCAGGTCTAACCACAGACTTTTCCACTGAGTGCTGCTAAATACTGAGATGTGATGAAAGAGGGGAGAAAAGTTCTTGAAACTTAACAAGGGCAGCTAACATGTTTTGAGTACTTATGTGTCAGGCACTGTGTTAAGCACTCATGCATTAATGTTCTTAATCCTTAACAAGTGTCATCAGGTAGAGACTAATTGTTATACTACACTCATCCCCTTTTCATAGATCCTGAAACTGAGGCTCCGGTTAGTTCATTCACTTACCCAAGGATAGGTAGCCAGTAAGGAGTGTGTCCAAAGCTGCCTGCAAACAACCTCACACAACGAAATTCATGTGCATTTTGCATTCGTATTCTAAAATTGATTCCTATTTGTCTTAATTTGTAATGTGTTAAAGTGCCTAATGGTTAAGTATTAACCTTATCCCCATAGATTTCTGAGTAAAATGTACATTCTAGAAACTACTACAGTGATTCAGTGGCTTCACAGGGGCTCCAATTAGATTTGGGGAAAAATGGCTCCTTGTCTTCATTGGTCAACAAGTATTCAAGTGCCACCTGTGTTTTCTGAGCTATATGGGGCATGAAAAGGTAGGAAAGATAGAATTTTATGGCTTCATGGAGCTCGAGATGAGTAATAAAACCATAGGCCCGAGTATCGAACAGCCCACAATAACACAGAGCAGTAAGTAAAAGTCAGCATCTAGGGAGCTTGGTAAGGTCTGGCTTACCAAGAAGACCATACCAAGGAGATGGCCCTTGACCTGGGCCTTGGAGGAAAGAAGGGTTGGGCAGGCTGAAGGCTCATGTTTTACAGATACAAATATCCCTGAATATTTCCTCATCCATCCATCCCCTCTCCAGAATGTCAGCCCCTCAGGGCAGAGCCTTCATTTTGTTTCTGTCATCTAGAACTAAATATTTGTGGAATGCCCAAATGAATCCAGGGACCTTGAGCCAGGCAGGATTCTAAGTACTTCTAGACCCAGCCCTTGGTGTTGAGTTGGATCAGGGTTGGCCAGCCCAGATGACTGGCCTAGAAAGGAGCCATTTGGGTGAGGAAGAAGAGACTCTGTGGATTTGAATACATATGCTTCCTTTGTAAGTGTGGTGGGGGAGAGAGGGTACTTGCAACCTAGAGAGCTCTAGGAGGTAGCCGTCTGGGTATGAGATGATGATACCGAGAGGGTGACAGGATGGGAATAGGAAGTGGCATTGTGCAAGATGCTGGACATGACAGGACAGGGCCTCATTGAAAGCTTGGCCCTGAAGGCAGAGCAAAGGTGGAGTTTTAAGATTCCATTAAATCTTTGATCCTGGGAGGGTTCAGAAGCCAGCCAGAAGAGCTGGTTTGGGGGCAGTGATAAAAATTTGTCTTAAAAGGACTGAAATTGAGGTGCCAGTAGGAAATGGGAGGCAGATACTCTGGAGAAGGTCAAAACTGGGGTTGGAGATTGAGGCATAGTCACCCATGTTGATGAGTTGAGGATAGAGGTGAGAGAGGAGGATAGAACCAAAGGTCAGATCAGGTGAACGAAGTATAATAAACTAGGGGAGATGAGCACCTTGGAAACGAGGAGCAGTTAGTGGATGATGGAGGCAGTGCGCAGAGGACAGCAGGGATGACAAGGTCATGAAAGGAGTCATGGGATTCAGCAGTTAGGAGGCCCACCTTTGACAGAGCAGTTGGATGAAGCCATCCAAGGCTAGATAACCCAGAAGGAAGTTGACAGTAGTGGGTGGGGGGCACGTAGAGGCAGCTGTTCTCTTTGTAGAAGGTCGAAGACACTTTGCAGCGAGCTGATTTAGTTTCTGTCTTTACGGATTTGCCTGTTCGGGATATTTCATATAAATGGAATCATACACTGTGTGGCTTTCTCCACTTAGCATAATGCTGAAGTTCACCCAGGTTGCAGCACAGTGTTCCCTTATGTGGATACACCATGTTTTGTTTGCCATTCATCAGTTGTTGGACCTTTAGGTTGTTTCCACTTTCTGGCTTTTATAAATGAAGCTGCTATGAAAATTTGTGTACAGATTTTTCTATGGATATGTGTTTTCTTTACTCTTTGGTAGATCCTCTACATTTTTGTTGCTGTTTGTTTTTTTCCTAGGGCTTATAAAAGCCCCATTTATTCAGTTATTTACTTTCCATGTTCCTGTAACTAAATCAGCCCTAAATCTTGTGACAAACTCAGTATGGTGGTCAGTTCCTTTTATCCCCCTTGTTGATGTCTGTTCTGGAGCTTTCCCTCTTTTTGCCCCATCTTACGGTTGTCCAGGTCTGCTGTTCACCACTTATCCTGGGACTGCCCTTAACCGTCACCCCGGGCGGTGATGTTGAAGCCCCTGTTCCC